CAGGCGTAATGATGACAAATGAAGTTGTTTGTTGGGGATTAGGGAGATTTTGAGCTCTCTATGGATTTGGGTGCGATATATTTTCTATGCATCACACTTTGTCCTTTTTATTGAATGTTAAAAAAAGACCACAATAAAGATTATGAGGCAAGTGAAGCTAATAATTACTTTGGAGATTATGCAGATGAAGAGGGAATTGCTTCTATAATAATATTACTGTAATTCAACAGATCAGCAGAACCAGCCAACATGGAGAGCGAGGGTTTCCAATGTGTTTTCCAGTTTGGGGAACTGATTTCAGTCTTGGAGCACCTTTCACGCTGTGGTCCATCTTTTTTCTCCTTTATGTAAATTCCTCCATCCAACCTGCCTCAGCCCAGTGGGACAGAGAATTAATGGCGCCATCCCTTTGGGAGGATGTGGAAGTGACGTGAAGTGTAATGATCTCAATCAGGGCTAAGGGTGAGAGACAGAACTAATCACTGAGCGCGCTCCGCTACCATAATGCAGTCAGTCCCCCTAATGACCCTGGCACTACTGTCAAAGCCATTATTCTCCTCTGTGGTGAAAGGCACATCAAACTGCTGGGGCCTACTCATAATTGGACTAAACTTTGAGCTATGGGAGGACATTACACATGTCCTATATTAATTTGGGTGCCAGATTTTTACATTGGTAATTATTTGAAGTGGAAAGACTGAATGACTGAGCTTCTGATGCCACACTGCAGCCAGGGGGGTCAGCGGATGAGAGTATATCCTAAACGAACTGGAGGTGTAGTGGATTACTTTTCTGATTTCAGGGATTGTTCTCCCTACCTCACCAAATGGATAAAAAAAACTGCACTACAAGTTATTTTAAAACACACACTTAACTGTATTTACTACTCAGTAGCTTTTGTTAAAATTAAAATTGAATATAGGACCCATTTCTAAGTCTGAATGTACTCCTATAATTTTTTTTTTTATTTTGTCTTTGATTTAAAAAAAAAAGCATTTTTTTGTGTTTCAAGTAAAAGTTTTGTTTTTTACTTACAATATATTTTAAAAGTGCCACAAAATATATTACATTTTATTTTCTGTATGCTATTAATACAGTGAAAAGTGGATTATTTTGATAATTTTTTTACATTTTAAAATTTGTATTTATTTGTACTTCATATCTTATCTTTACTGTATACATGGATTACATACATACATTTAATTTTTTGCCTAAATTGTGCTAAAATCTTATATCAATATTAATTTTAATGGTTTTTTTTTCAATTTATTGATTTAATGAGTTTATATTTGTTTATTTTTTTTTGTAATGCTTTGTTCATTTTTATACTGACTCTATGTTTTATATACTGAAATAAATAAATTTTTTTTGCCTATACAAGAATAACAGCCCGTGCTTTCCTGCAAAAAATACCTCTACATTTATCCTTATCAATATTTAAAGGTTATCAAATTCTACTTTAAATCACAAATTCATTCAGTTCTTTGTTGTTGTTTTTTTGCCTATATTTTCTTAGAGTAACATAGTTCTATTTATCTGACATTTAAACCCTCATTCACTCCTGGTTGAAATCAGTGTGCACTGTTGCGAAGCCACGGCCCTGCTTGTACACATCTCAGATGATAGACCTTAAACCAAAGGGGATGCATCCTCTCCAAGCTTTCGCTCTCTTGTTTGCAGCTATTGTCCTGTTTGTAAGAAAATCAAGTTACAATCTCTCAGATACATCCATCACTTCACCCTTCTGGCCTGTGTTGGAAGCGTGAGGCGAGTCTGCGGGGATCTTGAAGAAATCTTTTGGTCTTCTGCTAACAGCATCTTGAAAAGACATCAAGAGACTCTCCATTGATTTTTTTCTCTTGGTTTCTCCTGAATTTCTGTACAGAGTGCTAGCAGGGGGTCCTCCCTGTAGGTGCAGTTTCAATAGTGCCACTCAAAACGGAGCGGGTCAAAACAGATTGCTTTAGCAGAGGGGGAGAGAGAAGAAAGAAAGCCCCAAAAGTTTACAGGAACTTTTTTATTTGCTCTGCCTTGAACTGTTTTGAGAGCTGGACAAGTTTGCTGAGTTTTTCACAAAAGACTGTGCCAGCGCTTTTCTGCTGACACAGACTTAGAAGTGTGAATTAAAGGAAATCTAGTTATTACCTCCTTGAAGCAGATTATTTTTGATTTTATATTGGCAAGGGCTTCTGCATAACTGTTTTTATAAGACTAACTTAACTGTTTTTACTCAGAAGCTGTTTGGTGCACTGATTACCTTCTTAAGGTTAAAAGGAAGTGTTTTGATTTTAACGTAATCTGTGCTTTTGGTTGTTTCAGTCAATTTTGTTTTCTGGTTTGTGCTGACTTCTGATACCAATTTCTATGTAGATGCAATAAGTTATTTTTTGGTTCCCTCAGAGTTTCTATACATGTATTGATCTATGCCTCTCGCCTTTTTCTGAGTGATATCAGTTGTTGATTTACTGGCAGTTTGGGTTTTTTCAATTCTTGATGTGAAGTTCTCTATTTTGTAATTAGCTGCAACATTTGCAAGGGATTTGGTTCTCTATCAAACTAGGCAATGTTAGTAAAAACATATTTTATTGTCCAAATTTGGTTTAAATGGGTTATAATAATGTATATATTGCATTTTATGCCATTTTATCAGAACAGGTTTTTTTTCAAGAATAAAAAGAGTCATGAAAAAGAGGATACATTAAGAAATTCAGGTAAAAGTCTAGTGATATATATTTCTATAATGCGACAAGCACTAAAGTAAACTTTTCCATTGATTCTGATAGTTGTGGACAGTTTGTTAGCGTTTTTCTAATAAAACTGAATTAATGGGTTGTTTACTTGTCAGAGGATTAAAAAAAAAAAAAAAAAAAGACAGATAATCAAGGAGACAATCCTTGTCCGGTAGATAGACACTGACGTCTTCCAAAAGCAGGTTTAGAGATAAAAAAAAAAGGTCACATCAGAAAAGACTGACTATTTAGAGAGCTATATACAACTATATTAGTGGAAAATTGAGTTGAAAGAAAAAAATATGTGATACAGGTACTTAATTTAAACATAATTAAATAAAGACAAACACATATCATTATAAAAACTGTTTCATGATAGAAAAGAGTTTGTATAACGTCATGCTGTGAAGTTGAATTAATAGATGGTGGTAAAGATTATATATGCCAGTGTAGTTCAGTTTCATTTATATTGAATTGAATAATGATATTGGGTTTCATTGATGGGACTTGATATACTAATGTTTGAGTCAAAAAAACAAAAATTGATCAGAGCATAAAATGGTTACATAAAGGAAGCATCAATATTTCACTTCTTAAAGGTACAAAACGAGGACAAACAGCCATTAAAAATGGTACCTTCAAACACTGAGTTATGTGAAAAATGTCAGCAATGACTTGGTAAGTTACTTACACATGTACTACCACAAATAGTGTATATCTGTGTTTTTTTTGTGTTTTTTTTTTTTTTTTTTTTGGGGGGGGGGGTATCGTGAATGAAAAATGAAATGTCGATATTTTCCACATAAAAGTTTGTGAGCTGGACTGTAGATTGTATTCTACCCTTCATCAACTATCTTTCGTTACAGTATTTTATTTTTCTAGTAGCTTGGCAGATCAAGAAATGTTTTACTATTAGTTATAAAGGTTTTTACTATTATTACTCTCCGATATGGCTCGAGCTTCATCAGATTAGGCGGAGAGTGTATGTGAATAGAATTTCTTATCTGTAACCACAGAAATGAACTTCTGTTTTAATTGAATCCCATCAGTAAAATACATGATGCAAACCGAACTTTATGTGCAATAAGCTTTGTAAACGTCGTGTTGGTGGCAAGATGTTTTCACACCAAAATAGATGCATAAAAAAGAATCTGGAGCCAAAACTTACAGAGGAAGCAGGGTGTTATCGTCCAGGAGAAAGATTGGTAAACAACTTGGTCGCCAGGACGATAACAGGATCCCATAGGCTGCTTAGGGAGCTGTGATTACTCACAACATGTGTTACATTAATTAACCCATATGGAGAGATTGCGGTGTTTACAATGGATCCTCAGACACGGCCTTTTACAGTACCTCATGGTATAGAAGCACAAGCGATGAAAATGCAGAGTCCAACATTATATGAGAACATAGTCAGTCCGGATGGTTCATAAAATTTCTGAAGCCCAAGTTATAGTCCTGGGCAATAAAACAATTATAAAAAATATTGTAATCGACACCTGATATCAACATAAAATAACTCAAAAAGAATATTTGGTCATTCCAGTTAATTTAATCCAGAGCTGACATCTTTTTAAAGGGGAAATCTAATGCTTTAAAGAGGGTTTGGGTTACCATTTAAATTCTTAATTATTTCCTGTGATCATAATTTCAAAGAGGTAAACCAAAAAACTGATCAATAATTATCAATCCAGTGATGTAAAATACTTATATTATGATTCATTTTTCATATGTATTGCCCTACCAATATTCACTTTGTTTTAAAATATTTCACTCAAATACTTATCTCATCTCATGGTATATTTAATTCATTAGTTTTGAAAGCACATGTAATATGAAGATTAATTATGTAAAAATAATATTTCCTTTCCAGCAGCAGCACAAAGTGCTTTGAATGCATAGATGTTGATTTTGATATAATATACTAAATGACCTAAAACAAAACTCTCCTACAGTAAGTCACAGGTTACAAAAAGCTCACCTGAAAAATGCCATGATCAATGCTTACAGTACTCGCAGTTTCAACTCCTGATACACCATGATGGCATGTCTCTCGGTGGAACTGATTACTTCCATTTTAACTCAAAAGTCCACAAACCTACGGAAGCCCTGAAAGGCAAGAAAAAAAAAAAAAAAATTCAAACTTTTCTTTTCCAGATTTTTTTTCTCCATTGCCTTTCAGGGCTTCCTTACAAACCATTTTATCTATTATTTGGATGCTCTTTGTTATTATTTGTAGCTACAATAAACAATCCTCTTTCTGGCTTGCAGGATGCATCAATTGCACATCGTTTCCATGTGATGAGAGAGAAGCACCCTGAGAAATTCAACAGCAGGTATGTTGGTGTCAGTTGGGCATTCAAATATTTATATGTATTTCTATTTATTGCTATAGTAAAAACACAATATAAAAGTTTTTTACAAAGCTTGAAATTAAGATTTTAGAGTAATTATGATGAACCACAACCATTTGAAACTGTAAATATACAATTAAGTTAACTTAAATTTAATAATTAGAAATAGATTAATCCAGTCAGGAGGACAAAGACAAAAGTAATGGTGTTTGCAGTTCTTTGGCTTTAAGTTGTAACATACAGACACATGTCGAGCCCAGTATATTTGAAAGTATTACACTGATTACATAATATGTTACTTGTTTTAGTGTTTTTTGTCCCTTCAGTATTGTTAAAATGATATGTACGGGTATGGTGTGACCCAAACACTCAACAGGTTAAACCTTACTATACATGCTGCTACGAAGACACCATCTGTTATTCTACATAAACTGTTTGAGGCAGCCTTCTAACCAAAACAGTACAATGCAGCGGCTACTGTATGCTACACCTATACATTTGGTGCTGAGTAGTCCATTTAAAATATTCATCCAGAGTGGTGCTGCAGTCTTGTCACTCCGAATACCTCAAATTATAGTGCCTACCTCATGTTCCAAGAGTTTGTACCTTCATTTTATGTTGGATCAACACTAAGAACACTATAGAGGGTAGGAAAGGAGCTCCAGACTGCTGTGTTGAATCCGGAAAGCTTTCAACCTTACTGACATCATTGTGCAGAAGAAAGACATGAATGATGCTGGTCAGATGGGCTAAATGCCGAACTCTACTACTTCCTTAACTTCAGCCAGATCCTCTGTTTCCTGTCTTTCTTTACAGGATAGACTGATTAATCCATGTGTGTGACCTCAGTACCTAACATGAGAATGGGCAGACAAAGTTGGATTCATCAGTTTGTCAAGTAATGAAAGACAGGAAACAAAGTTAGAGTTCAGATAAAGAAGATTTATCAGGAAGTAGTGGAGTTGGGAAACAAACTAGAAAAAACAAAAGTTGTTCAAATGCAGTTAAACGGATAAAGCTCTCCGTTATAAAACCCATGATACCTAAAGGTGAGGACATTTGCAGGACCAGGAACTTCCAGAGGTCCCTATGCCAACAGCATTGGTGCTGGGAAGCATCCTGGTCCCAGCTCATTTCTACCAGCACTATTCTGATAGCACTTATTATAGTGACCACAGGCACACTTCCACCATGGCATAAGTGTACTTGCCAATTCTGGTATTTGGATTGAGCCTTTGTGCTTTAACAAGACCCTTAACCCCATTTTGCTCTCTGTGCACTGGGATCGTTCGTTCTCAACCTCATTCTATAATGTCATCATATTAAACATCAAGCAGCAGAAGCAGTCCCGTAGTCCATTTCAAGCAGCTGGAGCAGTGCTTTGTGAGCATTTAGGCAACTGAGGTACATTTAGAAACCCTGAACTTTAGCTGCTTGACAAAAAAAAAAAAAACAATCAGAGAGAGGCTCCGCTATTTATTGGTGTCATGGTAGGATATATGGGCACCAATGCAGGGTGACAGGTTGTAAAACTGGGTATGAATTAGACTAAAATAGCTCCAAAAGTGACCATCATCAGTGTACAGCTCATGGAGTAGGTGGTGAAATGTTTATTTGAACTGAATGCCTCTGAAGTATCTGATTTAACAACCTAAATCATTATTAAAAGGGAGCACAAAGAAGTAAAACTTGGTTATATCAGGTAGATATACAGTAATCAAGTTTCGTTTTTTTGTTTTTTTAGTGTATGCTATATTAAGCCCATATAATAAGTCATTAGCAAACCAGTTTTGCATGCAGCATACACACCACCATGTAGGCCCACATCCGCCATGGGGGGAGGAGGCAATTCCTGAATTGTCCAGAAATTAGTCGACTCAGCTCAATTAAGTCAAGTTATTGGCAAGTCAAATTTTTGGTGAATGCCCTACTGTGCACCACTAAGTGTTTCAGCACACTGCCCCCTAATTCATGGGTTAAATGGAGAGCAGAGCGTTACACTCTTTGGGACTTTAAATATCCTAATCTTAATTGGTTCAGACACTGAAGAGTTCATTCATTCATTATAGTTTTCAGATATATCACAGGACATCAGCAGACATTCCTAACTGACAGGACATGGTTGCCTGACCCTCAGGTTGCCGCATGTGCCTGGCCCAATTTTCTGAGTTTTTCCTTCTCTTTTAGGTAAAACAATTTAAATAACATCATCTCAAAAAGTGTTTTGAGGAGGAAAATGCTGTTTGTAATCTTCTCCACTATGCAGGAGAAGTAGTTAAAATTTTACAGATTTCTCAGGTTTAAGATTGTATTACAGTTAATTCTTCTTGACAAAACAACCCATTTTGTAACATAACTTCTGTTATCCCTGATAAATTATGTTTTATAGAGGAGTGCCTCAAAACCATCTTATTGTATTTTGTTAGTCAGAAATGCAGATTTATACTGAAATTATTTTCGCAAGTTTTACAATAATGACATGAAACATACATTTCTTGTGTAGGAAATAAATCATGGGTTTATTTGTCCACTTTTCCTACTGATACATGAATTATAAAGTAATTCAAACCCTGCATTTATTTATCTACATTCACAACCAGTAAACAATAATTCAAGAACTCATTTTCTTCACTGGAGTTTATTTCTGGAATCAAGGTTAGTTCATAAAATGAAGCTTTTCCAAAAACAAATAGGCCAGATTGACAATTTCATACTGAAAGTTTTCATTTAAAACAAACTAAAAATAAAACAGTTCTTCAAATTAAATCAGCAACTAGTTACTGTCTAAATATACCTGGAGTTCATTAGCAGGATGTGAACATGACAACATATTTCATATCTGCTCTGAATGGACAGGCGACGTATTTAGCATTTGTGATTATCCCAGGGAGATGTGTTCACCTTTGGAGATGAACAAATCTGGCGTCTGTGTTTCCATCAATATTTAACATCATCCAATACGTCTCCACTTACGCCAGGGAGTAATTGCAGGCCTAATTGAATTTGCTTGGCTAGTTTGACGTTGTGGATCAGTCAGACTGATGACACACAGGCTCCTAATAATCCCATTTGTACTCATTATCATATTTTACTCTGGTCTTAGTATGGCATTCATATAGCCGGCTTTCCCTCACCAGCGAGGACATGATGATAAGCATGAAAAACGGTTTAAACATGAGAGAATGACATTTGAAATAAACATTGGAGCATCAGTTAAAAATTACAAATGGTTGTCTGTTTGATAAGAGATTGCATGCAGAAAAATTGTAAAATCTAAATTTTTTATTGAATGTGTTGCATCCATTAAAGGGGTACAGATGTTGGTAAATACATAATTCGGTCTCAAAGTACAATACAGGTGCTCTGCATCCCATTTATTTTACACCTTCTTAGGTCAATGTGAAAAATGATTGAGATATTTTAAGAAAATTATTCTGTCTGTTATTTGAATTCAATTAATAATTAACGCAGGGGGAATGAGTTTAGGATCTCTCTATTACACACTATCCTTGCCAATTCAATAATGCATGATTATAGTTTTTCAAGGTAGCATAGATTTTGTTAGATTTGTCCAAAGGGCTTCATGTCCATTGCAAGTTTAATCAAACTTATCAAAGAGTCATTTTGCCGCAGCTGGAAGCTCTGTTTCAGAAAGCTCTGACTATTTAAGGATGATGTTGGCAGGTGAGCTAGTTAGAAATTAACTCATGCAGGTGGTAAAACGAGACGTCGCTCTGGACGCCTGCTTTTAATACGGGAAACTTTTCCTGTGATCTCAAAGACTTCATATCAAACATTTACAGTAATGAAAACTCATAATTTAGAGACAAAATACCATTTCAAATAAAAGTCCTATTTGGTGAAAATATGTAAAATACCTTTGAACATACAGTATCTGCAGGTGCACAATAGTCAATAAAAAATTTATCTGTTATTCAAATATAGTTATTCAATGGGGGAAAATTATCCATGTTCAGAAATAGGTGGTTAACATGAAAATGTGTGTTCTATACATGTTGGAGGTTACAGACCTTATTTTTGAGTTAAGACAACATCTAGTCTGCTCTAGCATTTGATAAAGTTAGAGCATACAGTGAGAAATCTTCTTTGTCTTCTCTGTGATCAGGCAATGCTCTGTTGGTACTAAGATGCCTAATGGTGCCAATAAATCTATCATCCAGACCTTTTGTTAGACTTTAAGATATTGTTCAACATTCCTTTTTTGGACCAGATATATAGCTGGAAAATAAGCAGCCAGCTGACATGTTTACTCAAATTTAGTAATACATAAAAATTTGATAACTTAGGGATGTACAATTAATTACCATAAATTAATTAAAACAATTTTAATATCAACACAATTAAAGAAATATGCAATTTCCTAAATAAATGGACACTTAGCTTTTAGTCTTTCACAATTAAAAATAGATAGAAAATAACCATCACACTCCAGCCTTTTAGGTGAAGGTAAAACAAATTATGGGGGTCTGCATCCCGGACACATAAGGGCAGCTTTGCAGGACCTGAGATCTCCTACCCTGCAAACTTAGGCACATCCCTGCTCCAACAAACCTGAATCTTAAATCAAATAAGTATCTCATGACAAGGCCTTTACCAAACCTGATCGCATGCTGATGGGATAATCCATTCATTTAAATCATCTGTGTTGGAGCGGGGATGTACTGCACCTAAAAGTTGCAGCAAAGTAAAAATTGAGGCCTTGAATTGGAGACCACTGCCTTAAATATATCTGGTTCTATAGATCTTCAGCCAGCCAAGGAAACAGTAGTACTATAAAAATATACGTTTTACAAAAACATTTCTTACTTTATATTATCTTCTAAGATTATTTTAAATGTTTGTCTTTCTGCTGACATGTCCATGAAACAAGGTATCAGAAATGTGAAAACAAAAATTTCAAAATTTGAGTTCCTGAAAGTTTTATGTCACAGCTAAATCTAACTTTGGCAGTACTTATGAAG